ACCTCGCCCAACATCAAAGACGGAAGAGACTCAGCGCCGCGAAACCCTTCACCCATGCTCCCTTATAAAGAGAGACGAGACCGCGAATCATCCCGGTGAAGCGCCAGAGGCTCGCCCAAGTTGTAAAAACACCGGCGAATAACGGCGACCCTCATCGCCGTCCTAGCAACCAATTAATCGGCGAAACCTTAGGCATTCTTTTCAATTGAGTAATTGCAAAATAAAGCCTTTTTACTTTGCGAAAACTGATTCGGGGTGCTACCTTAAAATCGTGACTTAATTTAGTAAACCGTTGTTTTAATTTTAATAAAACCATCTGGTTACTGAAAGCATAAAGTTCCCCAAAAGTTCGTCGAAAAACAAGTTCGTCAGATTATGAGTACGTCAAAAGTCATCAAAACATCGTCAAAAGTCATCAAAAACATCATTAGCGGAAGCGTAAGTCATCATAATAATTATCTATACTATTATAAAAGAGCCAATGAATCTGTAAAAATATGATATCCCTAAATTAACCTTACTTTGTCATGTTTATAATGTCAATTTTGTAATTTAATACCCCATTCTATACTAATATTTTTAATTAAACACATTCTAGATCTTGGGGTTTATGTATGTTGGTTTGACCCAATTATCAATGCCGTCTATTTATCAAAATTTCTCCCTTTTGAATATCTTGTCACTCCCCATTTTCACTTTTTGTCTGAAACTTTACATTTATTTAAATAAGATTTTCAATGATATTAAAATTTGAACAAACTTTAAAAAATTATCAAAATGTTAAATTTTACATTAATTTAAATAAGATTTTCAATGATATTAAAATTTGAACAAACTTTTAAAAATTATCAAAATGTTAAGTTAGTGTACAGAAAAAACAAAATTATGACATTACCTTACCAAATACTCATTTTTTTAAAATTTAGACAAGCAATGTATATCTGTACCAAAAAAAATAAAAAATAAAAAATAAAAATAAATAAATAAACAGATAACGCGTTCAGTATGATAGATAAGGAAAAAACTAATAAAAAATATTATTGCTTCACATGAGCAATTGATTTTCAAGATGAGCGCTCTATAAACAATGATAATTCAAATTTTTGTATATTAAATATTTTATTTATTGACATTATTTTAAGATTTGTAAATATTTTTATGATTTTCTCAATAATTTTAAGAGTTTATTTAACTGTAAGTATATATAATAAATTTCTTAGCAATATTTATTTAATTTTATAAGTTTATTAATAACAATTATGTTAGTATTAAATGTGACATGGAGGCCAAAACTATCGCTAATTATACATAATATGAA